ATTTAAGAAATGACTTGTGTCGCTAAAGTTTCGTCGGAACGAAGTTACGGAAAATTAACTAACGAACGGAGACGTAACAATATTTTAAAATTGATTTTGTTATCATTTTGTAACATTTATCTAGTGTAATTCCTAACGCTTAGTTTGGTTTGAATTTCGCGCAGGGTGAGAGGAGGCATACTTTATCACTGCTTTTGAGGTAGGTATACATATTTTTCTATTTTTCATTTCAGGGTTGTAAAGTATTACATATATATATGCATCTTTCCTTTATTTTAGATGTATTCTTTTTTTCCTATATATGTTTATTTTTGTATTATGGTTTGCATTTTTACTCTTGTGGTTTATTTTGAAGGGCTTTGATTATGCATTCTATTGTATAGTTAAATTTTGTGATAATCTTTGTTCAAGGGTATTTTGTGGTAATTTTGGTATTGATTTCTTTGTTAAACAGTTTTTATTTTGCATGTATTTATTTGATGTGACCAGCCCTCCAGTAGCACAGCGGGATGTCTGTGAACTAATATTGCTAGAAACCGGGTTTCGATACCCGTGGTGGGCAGAGCACAGATAGCCCTTTGTGTATATTTGAGCTTACAGCAACAACTTGATGTAACCATAACGAATTAATCCATGTAGCAGTTGTTTTGCTGTAATGTATTTAATGAGTATTATGTCTTTGCTAAAGGATTCTAATTATGACCACTGTGTTCATTGTTAGAGCCTATATTTTGTCTTTGTATTTCACTATGAGTTTAGTTTTTTTATATATAAAAGGTTTTCATTTGTAATTTGATTGTTAGAGGGTTCATGTTGTTTTCTGCTCCACCACGCGATAACTAAAATTTTAAAGTACAAGTTTTTGTTATGTCCCGTGGTTTGGATTTTGCTTCCATTTATTCTGTATCTAAAGGCGTTTTTGTGTTAGAAAATTATTCCCTATGATTTGTTACCTATCATCGTTAAAGTGTATGTATCATGTATCAGTGTGTGCTATAGGACATTTTTCAATTGTCACTACATATGGACCTGCTTTGTAAAATGTTGTGACATCTGTGTATATAAGTGTTTAGAGGTGCAGAAGAAGATTACAGTATTTAATTACCAATGCACGTGTATGAATTTGATTTGTTCTAAAGTTAAAATTATTTGTGAGCTTGAAGATAAGCCTGAAATAAGGGGAGGGAGGAAAAGTGTGAAATATAAATAAAACAAGCATTTTCTACTCTCATATTTTGATATACTATTATTCGAAATTAGCTAGTATTCTAGTATGTGCAGTGGTAAAGAAAGTCATTAAGTCGATTACTAAGGTGATTATATTAGAGTTGCCTTTGTTCCTTTGTCATTCTTTAGAAGTAACACCTGTTCTGCCCATGGGAGGATTGGCTGTAATGATACATGTTGTGAAAGAATGTAGACAGATGTATCCTCTAATAATAGGTCAGGAGATAATTTGAGGTTACAACTTCCCTTCTGTTTGAATGAGAATGACTAGTCAAATGAGTAGTACTAATCCTGCTGAGTAAATCCAATGTTACCTGTCGAGAAGATTGTCTGGTACACGATCTTGAAGAAGTCGATTTGGAGAGAGAATAATTAAATTCCAATAAAAGCGATAGTTTAGTGTCTATGCTAGTACACAGTTGTGTTTGTAATATTAATAAAGACCGATAATCCTGTTTACACTGTGTCCAGTTTGTTTATTTCGTTTTCATGAACTCAGTAAAAGTTAGTGATCTTGGAATTACTCTGTAATATATATCTTGGCGAATTTCCTGTTATTAAGCAAATCTATCCCATCACTTTCAAGATAATCAGTTTGATCTGAATATACCATACACAGAAGTAAAAGTTATAGAAAGTCCAGGACTTGAACATTGTTCCAAGTGTTACGACAGCGGAAGTGAAGTGACGCTGGTAACACGTGATGAGTTTCTGGAAGAATCATAAAGGCTCGAGTGTTTGCCAGACGCCCTCTATTTTAATATATAAGCCATGCAAATAAAGCGGAGATAATAATTGCAGATAGAAAGATATAGAGACAGATAATAGAGTCAAGCGAGCACGGTAGTGACCGTAAGTAACTTGCGTGAATCGTTGTGAATTATAGTGTGTGTTTAAGTCAAAGTAACTGTGGAAATTAAGTGTATTGCAAAGTTGTATTGAGAAAGAATAAACTAGTTTTATTTAAGAAAGGACTTGTATCGCTGAAGTTTCCCGGAAAGAATTTTTGGGGGAAATTATCAAACGAGCAGATACGTAACACAAGTGAAGTTAGTTCTTAGTTATTTTTGCCATGATACTTTCTTGTTCAAGCAGTTCTCAGAATCATCTTGGTTTTTGTGTTATGAAAAAGGAACTTATCCACCATTTTTTTTTTGAGTTGCCATTTATAAAGGGGAAAAATGGCCATTTTTAGATAAGAGTTTTATTAGCGTGAACTGTTATTCTTATATATTGCGTTAATAAATTGTTTCATTTATGAATTTTTACCTTTCTTCAGCAATACGTGTAATTAAAATGAAATATAGAAAGGATATGTGAATGTTGTATAGGCCTAATCTATTGTTGTAATGTTCTTCTGCTAGGCTGTTTTTTAAAAATTATTTGGGGAAAATAATTCGAAGTTAGAACACATAATGATAACAAATGAGTTTATTTCTTCTTTAATTTTCTAAAAGATATTTTCTTTCTTTCTTTGCTTCTTTGTTGTAAAGCGCAAAGCTACACAATGGGGTATCTATGATGTGCCCACCACAGGTATTGAAAACCGGTTTTTAGCATTATTACCTTTCATACTTACTCTCCTGTTTTTGCTTGTACACTACTGTAACTTGTAGGCCTAAGGATACAAATGACATTCAATCGGAAATATCTTTCTAACGGGCAGAGGCGTCGCTAGGTGCCTAAAAGATTCAGAGCTCGGGCCCACAGGCGTGGGAATTTTCGACGTTTCAGTATGATATTGATCATAGTTTTGGATTCTGATTTTTAAAGACATCAACTAGGCATTCGGAGTACTATCAGATAGAATCGGGGCACGGTCCTGTGTGCCAGTGCCTAGCGATGCCTCTACTAATGGTACAACGACAAACATAAAATAAACTTACTGGTACAGTTTTACAACTAATCAATTAGTAATTGAAGATAAGAAATAACTGACATATATATATATGTATGTATGTATGTATATGTAACAAAGTACAGGATCACGCTAATGCATATATTTTTCCTTGTACTAATAAAGACTAATTAAAAAATAATGCAGTATATACATAAGTATTTATATGAAAGACATAACACAAAAAATGGATTTTAAATACTCTTATGGTATATATTTTAAACATAAAATATTTAAATTGAAATAACATCTGTGTAATGGTTGATAGGGCAAAAAATATAGAGTTTAAGGTGCCTTTTATAAAACTAATATTTTGATTATATAAATTGTATTCATATTACCATTTATACAGAAAAAACAAGTTGTTGTGTGGTAGTGGCTCCCTCTTTAGATATGTCTTAGTGTTTCTTAGTAGTAAACAAGCTGGTTTGAGTTCGTGTCGTTGAACTGGGTATGACGTTAGTACTTTTTGTTCTTTTTATTTAATTTAATAATATTTTTAGTTTGAAATTAAAATAAACTTATCTGATAAAAATACATTACAAGCATTGTAGTATAAATCTTTGTATTACATTTGTTATTTTTTAAAGTAATTTTAATATTAGCATTACTAATACTACGTCTATGACTGAGTTGAGTATTACTAATGGGTAATTCAATCTAACGTAGAGTAACGTAACGGTTAGGGCGAGGACAGCGTCATCGCACAGTGTTGTCAATAAGGTAGGCTACACTTAGAAGTTTGTTTTTCTTGTCTTTTATATTTTGCTCGTCTTAAAATTGAAAACGTATATTTTTGTTCTTTTATCTTATTTTTTAATTTAACAGCTTAAGGCTAACGTTCTTTTAATTCATAACTTTTATAGCTTAATCATTTCAAACCAAGTTAAACTTAAAAGTTAACTGGTTGACTACTGTTGTACATTACTATTACGTATTTTGGCAGTTTGACTGTGTGGTCTTGTCTTTATCATTGAGAAATGCATTTAAACATTTTTTTTACAGTTTAAGAAATTATTTTGAATTTACAGTTGGACAGTTTTGATGATTTTGTCTAAAAATGTAGATCATGCCTTTTTGCTACCTTACCAAGTTGACCCCCCCCCTCAAAAAAAGAAAAGAAAAAAGAAGCCTGGATCTAGGCTTTTAGTTCTATAGCTTATTATCTCTAATATTTAGGATATCATCCCCAACCTTATCCTTCTAGACCTGTGCTCCAGAGGAAAACAAGTTCAGGTTTTTGAGTTTCTCACTCTCTCTTCATGGCTTTTATATTTCAAACCAAAAATTATTTGTGTAGCCTATGTCTGAACTTTTTCAAGTTAGTCACAATACTTTCTATAATAATGAGAAGAAAGCTTAAAGATGAGATGTTACTAAAGTTTTGTGCAAATTGAGGACATCTTCTGTATTCTTGAAATCAAATTTTCTATAAATAAAATTCAATATCCTATTTGCTCATTTCACCACTCCTAAACTTTCAGCTGAAGGCTTGAGATTTTTTATCAGTCTTCACAACCAAATCCTTCTGACTCTATACATCAGTATTTCTCACACAAATGATTTATTTTCAGATTTCCATACCCAAAATGCTTCACTTTACATTTTCTCAATGTTGAAACATATTTTTCTCAAATGATTCAATTCAGCAAGGCTGGCAAAGCCCTTTGTACTAAAGTAGCATTTTTGAGAATTGGCCTTACTGATCAATTTATTGTCATTGGCAAATTTATAAATATAATTGTGTATAAAATATCCATATCATTGACATAAATAATAAAGTTCCCAAGATACCCTTGGAGGGACTCATCATATATTCTCAATGAAAATGGCGCCTATTTATGTCAACCTTATTTTCTATCATAAAGTCAGTTTTAATCTACCTTATGAACTTTCCTCAAGTTCCATCAGAACCTACCGTATTGGCCTGATTATAGGGTGATATCAAACATAAGGCGATCCCCATTTTCAGAAACCATGGGAAAGAAAAAAAACTGAGTGTCATAACATCCTTTTTTTAGTTGCAAGGATAAGAGATGACCTTGAGTGAACATCTGGTGCACATGCACAGATGGATGTTATCTGGACATTCAGGAATGTGACAGGCTAGAGTAAGAGGAAGGGACCTGTGGTTGGCTGAGATTATAAGGCGACTATGAATTTTACAGTCTAATTATTAATAAAAAAACATCGCTTTGTAATTGGGCCAATGCATTAACTTGTAAATCAATATGAGAAAATCCATCAAATGCCTATTAGAAGTTTAGACACACAGTTTTTAACAGGGGATAATTTTAATCAGAAAAACAAAAGCGTATATAAAAAGTTCACCAAGGTAGCGAGATGAGAAACGCCCCTTCAGAAGTGATGCTGAGAATTATCATTAGAAATGTCGCATGTCTAAGATATTCTGAGAAAAGCTATACTGTGAGGCATTTTTGTGTGTCGAAATGTTAAAATTTAGACTAGTTCACTTACTGCAATCAAATTGACATGTTGATTTTAGAATAGTGTTTCATCTGGTGTTTGAAGAAATTTGTTAGGTAACTAAATTATCATTACTTAATGGAACAAAGTAAAAATAAAAAGATAAGTTGTAAAATTACAAGTGCACCCTACAAATAGGCCACTATATTAGATTTCATACCATTCTTAAAAGTAGACCTTTTGAATGGAAGGTGATTAACTTTTGCCATGGTCTTGTAATGCACTACGAGGTGTGAGTGATTAACATTAACCATAGCTTAGTAAGACATGGTAAGGAATGGAGGGTGGTTAACTTTTTCCATGACCTAATAAGATACTGTAAAGTATAGAAAGTGGTTAACTTCTGCCATGACCTAGTAAGGTACTGTAAAGTATGGAGGGTGGTTAACTTCTTCCATAAACTAATAAGACACTGTAAAGTATGGAGTGTGGTTAACTTCTTCCATGACCTAATAAGACACTGTAAAGTATGGAGTGTGGTTAACTTCTTCCATGACCTAATAAGACTGTAAAATATGGAGTGTGATTAACTTCTTCCATGACCTAATAAGACACTGTAAAGTATGGAGTGTGGTTAACTTCTTCCACGACCTAATAAGACACTGTAAAGTATGGAGGGTGGTTAACTTCTACCATGGTCCAATAAGATACTGTGAAGTATGGAGGGTGGTTAACTTCTACCATGGTCCAATAAGATACTGTGAAGTATGGAGTGTGGTTAACTTCTGCCATGGTCCAGTAACATACTGTGAACTATGGAGTGTGGTTAACTTCTGCCATGGTCTAGTAACATACTGTGAAGTAAGGAGTGTGGTTAACTTCTGCCATGGTCCAGTGACATACTGTGAAGTATGGAGTGTGGTTAACTTCTGCCATGGTCCAGTACCATACTGTGAAGTAAGGAGTGTGGTTAGCTTCTGCCATGGTCCAGTAACATACTGTGAAGTATGGAGTGTGGTTAACTTCTGCTATGGTCCAGTAACATACTGTGAAGTATGGAGTGTGGTTAACTTCTGCCATGGTCCAGTGACATACTATGAAGTATGGAGTGTGGTTAACTTCTGCCATGGTCCAATAAGATACTGTGAAGTATGGAGTGTGGTTAACTTCTGCCATGGTCCAGTGACATACTATGAAGTATGGAGTGTGGTTAACTTCTACCATGGCCCAGTGACATACTATGAAGTTTGGAGTGTGGTTAACTTCTACCAAGGTCCAGTAACATACTGTGAAGTATGGAGTGTGGTTAACTTCTACCATGGTCCAGTGACATACTATGAAGTTTGGAGTGTGTTTAACTTCTACCAAGGTCCAGTAACATACTGTGAAGTAAGGAGTGTGGTTAACTTCTGCCATGGTCCAGTAACATACTTTAAGGTCTGATGAAATCATTTATGATGCATCATTAAACTAGAGAGTCTAAGTGTAAAAGATCGAAGACACTTTAGACAGTTTAAGGGTAGTATGATATTCTGGAGTGTTTTAAGTAATTTAAGAAAATTAAAAATATGACCTATTATTCCAGATTAGATAACAGTTTGAGTCAATAAATTTTGAAATATATACTTTTGTTATGGCATCATCAGGGTGGAAAGGTGAAATGGTGATTAAATGACAAGGTTTTTTAATTTGGTCATTGTAATTTCTAGTAAGCTGAATTAAATGTGTATTTGTTGAGGACATTTTGAATTGTTGTCTGTGTTGCCTATAGTTTTGTCTACCTTCTAAAATGAATAACACTATGGTAGAACATAAGAACATCTGTTTTATTACAGTTGGTTGTACATCTCATAATAGTTGCACCAGTTCAAGACAGAATAATATATTGTGTAATTTACTGATATTGCTATCTGTTGATTGCAGAGTTCATGCTTTTATTTGATTGATTTATTAAATGTTCCAGTGGTCAATGGAATTGATTGTCTTGCTTTATTGAAAATGAATCCAAACTGTTGCAGAGCAGACAAGATTCTGTTGTCACAATCATTATAGATTTATCTACATTGTAGTGAGATAGAAGGGAAAACTTGCTTGAAATTTGTATCATTCTTCTAATTTAGAACTAAACCTGTTATCACTTTTTATAGGCCACGTTGTGACCTTACAAATTGTAGTATCGTTAAAATAATTTAAGCTTGCTGTTTGAGATTTCCACTTTATTAGTTTTCTTGTATCTGCTTCTATTCAGAATAATGCATCATTTACTTCACTCTTAGATATATACTATACTCTACTTCATACAAGGCTCTTCACTGAGATTAGATAAAAGTATTTTAATATTTTTAATTATATATATTGGGCTATAGCTTGTAAATAAAATATCTATTTTCTGTTGTACACCTGTAGAGGGTGTAAAGGACAATGTACAAGATTATATTTTGAAAGAGCAAGTTTGACATTGAAAGTAATTAAATGTCTCTTGATTGAATAATTATTTATTGACTTTAATTTGCTTAACTTATTTAATTTTTAATAAAAATGTTGAGAGTTATACTTAACTAGTTATTATGAGACTTGTCAAATTGTGGGTTTTTCATTTTATTGTAATTTTTGTAATTAATCCAGTGTAAATATTTTTTTATGTTTGTAGCTGTCATGATTTATTTTCATTAGTTTAAGTGTTATTATAATAATTAAAAAATCTTGTGCTTTAAATTATCTCTGTTTAATTGTTTATGGCTGCAGATATTTGTTGACTGAAGAGCTGGCTATGATACAACCAGGATGTATCCATGTGTATCATTTTAATGAAGCATATCTTAAGTCTCTTTCGTGTTTTCTATATATTAATGCTCCATTGGTTTCTATGATACTGTTTTATTTTAACATATATATATTTATATACAAGCTAGACCAAAAAACATAGCATCACACATTTAGGAGAGACACTCAACTGTGTGTGGAAATATTAAAGATTTATCATAGTAAGAAAGGTATCTGAAGAACTAGAGCCCATACATTAGTAGGGATACACCAGTTGTCATATTTAACTCTATTCACAAGCCTTGTATATGAAAATAAACTAAAAATAATAAAAAATTAGAAGCACATGTTAATGTCCATTTTCAAAATGTCCCACATTTGAAGCTTCCATTGATTATCTACATCTTTTTTTTTGGGTAAGTAGTTGCTTCTAATGAAACTGAGAAGGAAGAAAAATAAACAAAAGACAAATTACTATGAACATACTACTGAGAGTGACACGTTTAAGTTATTTCATGGAATATCTCCTATAGTGATCCTATATTGTATGTAGATATCATGTATTAATATTTATTTATATTTCATTAGAATGTAGTGTTAATAGTATTTCTTTACAGTCTTATAAATGTTGAAGGGTGATATGTTGAGTTTATTATGATTTGTTTTTGCTTCCTTATAGGCGAAGATGAGGAGAGGTAGCAGTTGTGAAGATGTTGAGGCTTTACTAGGAAGTTATAGAACAAAAACATTAAAATGATGGAAAAATAACCATTAGCAGCAAATACATAAATTCTCCAAAAGTTTTATCCTCGTTTTATAACTTATCTATGTAGCTAAGCTGCTACGTGCGGAAAATGCCTCCATCATCAGGAGAATTATGGGGGCATCATTTGATGCCTCCTACCATTATTGTAGATTGTCTACTGCCCACAGGGATAATTATTCCACTGCCTTGTGCTCGTGATGCTACTTTAGAAACAGTCAAAGGTATGTTTCTTATCTTGAGTCATCCCTTTTCTGTCATATTCACCATTCTTTCCTTTTGGAATTTAAATTAAGATGGAAATATTAGTAATCTATCTATCTAGTAGTTATTTTGAGGATAAAGATTTCTAAAGAAAGAAGTAATCAATCATCAGGGATGCTCAAAAGTTAAGCAACCTTCCTTCACCCCAATATATATATATATTAGTAATCTAGCTAACCACTTCTTTTATTTTACATCCATTTGGTGATAATAAAGGTGTCTACATATGTAGATAATTTGCTTTGATGAAGTTTCTGATATTTACACATCTGTGCTCACTTGCCTCTTTCATCGTATTATCGAAAGGAACAATTAAGTATGTTGAAGTCAGAAGAAACAGATAAAATTTATAAGTTTATTTAATGCTAGTTTCTTACAACTTTTCTTTGTTTAGTATAAAAAATCTTCCTGGGTAATTTTATGTATATTTGAAATTGGTTACTGATGTTGCAAACAATTGACTTTACCTTTTACTTCAGAATATTTGTCCTAATAATATTTATAATAGTATTATATTTCTGTTATTTTGATTTTATTTGCAATGAATAATATTTTATATAAGTACTAAACTTTTAAATACCAGTAGTAGTTTCATTTGTTATATAAATGTTATTCATTGAATGAGAATGAACTACTGATTGCTAACATTCTTGGATAATATTTTCAAAATTTCTTTTACAATTGAAAATTTTTTTTTGTTTCTTCCTTTAGTTACAAACTATAATTTAATTTTCTTTACAGATATTAAATAGAAAAACTTCAACATATCAAGTAGTATTTTATAGTACTTGTAAATGTGATGAAATATTTAAAATGTTAAACGTAGATAATGAAAGTGTATTCGTTCTTCATGACAGTGTTAAGTAGGTTTTTCATGGTGTTTCTGTTTATAGCTGACCTTTGGACAGAAGCAAGACATTACCCTCTCTTCAGTCGTCTTGGTGATTCTCTATCGTACATATTTGTATCAATCACACAAGATGCAGAACGAGAAGAATTCTATGATGAAACTCGCCGTCTTTGTGATCTGCGCTTGTTCCAACCTCTTCTTAAGGTTGTGGAGCCAAAAGGAAACAAGGAAGAAAAGATGCTTAATTCTGAAATTGGTAATTCAAAGTTTTTTCAAATTATTATGACTATATTTATAAAATGCCTAATAACATTATTTTACAAATTTTTATTTACATTACCAAACTGTGGGCTTATAATTCTAAAAAATGTTTGATACCCATGATGGGCACAGCACAGATGGCCCATTGTGTAGCTTTGTGCCTAAATAGAAACAAACAAACAAAATTTTACTTATTTTCAAGTTAAAAAAAGAATATATAAAAATTTTAATAATGCATTGTGATAGTAAAAAAATACATAGGATTCAAAATAGATTGATAAAATCCTAGCAAAAGCAGAATGCCCATGATGAAGACAGGTTTGCTTGTTGAAAGCAATAATGTTTATTGGGTTTTAATAATGTAGCTGATATGATCAATCTCTATCAGCATAGAAACTGTTAATCCTGTTCACTAATATATCAGTAAGTTATTGAATAAAGTTGTTTAAACATTTGTTTAGCAAGTAAAAGCTTGGAATGGTCTATTCTTTCATTGGGGGTGTGTCTGTGAGCCAGACTAGTTTCAGAGAATTTCACTCCTCATTAGTGACCCTGGACATCACCTAGACAGCCTTTAAAGCTGCTGATGTAATAATTAGACAGTACTCCATCATCCATGAAACACATTTGCACCTACATGCATTAGGGCCCCAAAACAGACAGTGATTCAGAAGAAAAGTGTGAACAAAGTAGGTGATGCAAAAAAATTGATCCAACACTGTACCAAGGAAATCTTAATTGGTAAAACCCTAGTTTTCTGTGTGTTGACTTAGAAAATAATTTTTAGGCATATATAATGCATAAATGAAAGATTGAATACAAACAATTTGCATATGTATAGATATAACATGATGTAGTTTGGAAAACAGTACAGTGTTTCTGGACTTGAAAAAAAATGTTTTTACAATATTTTTCTGTCAGTAATAAATATAAAACCACATGCAACTCTCTGCTCTTGTTTGAAAAGCTGGTTATTAGTAGAAATAATATTTTATTGCTTTAAAATTTCCTAAACATTTTCAATAGATCAATCGCCTTTTTTTTTTTCTCTGTGTAACCTATAATTCAGTTTTGGAACACTTCTGGTATGCTTACATAGTTTAGATTAAAGATGTTCAGTTTTTTAGTATGTAATAATTATTAAAATGTTATGTGAGGTTTTGCATTGTGCTTGATTTCAAATATAGAAATGTTTACCCATTAGGTCTTGCTATTGGAATGCCTGTCCATGAATTTGATGAAATGAAAGACCCAGAAGTTATTGAATTTCGTCGTAACATCATCAATATGTGCAGGGAAATCATTGAAAGTAGAGATTCTGGATCAGAAGATCTACTAGCAATGTATGTTCACCCTCCTGATCTTGAAGGTGTCAGAGAACTTCCAGTTAATTTGGATGCAAAGCTTGATAAAGGTAAATTTTTATCATTACAGTAATATAAGTATGTATATTACATTGTTCCAGTTTGAGTTGTTTTTTTTCAGCTAACAATAATATAATTGAATGCTGATGAGTTACCTAATTGAAACCTTATAAATAGGTATCATTTCGTACATGTCTATTTACACTGGATTTGTCAAGCATTTTGACAATGAATGAAAAAAGTGAACAACTTAAGTTTCTGTAAAATTAGTCTCATTACTCCCATCTAGTCATGTTCAGGGGCATTGTAGAGTTTTACCCACTACGTAGCTCGCAGCACAAGCTTCCTCAAGATGTTGTAAACATGTTACCCTTAAAATAAATTTAAAAAAAAATTTAGTTTAATGCTTTTTATTTAGAAATTAAAAGGATACTTAAAAAAATACCAATACCACACATTGTGCCTTATGACTTTAACTTTCACTGTCACATTTATAGATAATCAACTCTCTTAGTGCCATAATAAAAGTTGAAACTGATGAACTTTGAAGGTGAATACTCTTTCTTCATGTTGATTGAAAATTCCAAAGTCATGATTCTTTTACAGAGTTACATTAAAATGTTATCCGAGTTTTAATTTCATAATTTCAAAAGGAAATATTTAAATAAATTGTAAATCTTCACTACTCTGTATATAGTACTCTTATTTCTCATTTTTAGATTTTTATTTATGACTTTTGTGCCTTTCAGAATGTCCACCCAATTAAAAACATAGAAATTGATAGGTTAGAAAGTAAAATGAGAATCTTCTATTTTCATGAATTGCTGAGATATGATGAATAATGTTGCCCAACCTAAAAAGACAGGTTCTTCCCATCTTTTTGTAGCTTTAGTATATTTTATAACCCACATGGTACCTATTAAATGTACATTTTTTTCACCAATAGGTAGAGCACAAGTCAATGGACTACTCTTTTACATTCCATAATTTATTTTCCACAGTGAGAATTTTTTAATTTGCAAGAAAATGTTGATATTTTCAGAGTAAAGGGCCACGATCTGAGCAATAATGAATTTTTTTAAACATATTTATAACTTAGCTAGAAAGCAGATAATTTGTAGTAGTTTGTGGATATTTTATTCTAATGCCTAACATACCTTTTTTTTTCCCTAAAATGCGTATTTGAAAGTTACAAGAATAATTTTGTAGACAGTCGATATAGTGTGAAAAATTAGTCATCAAAGTATGTTTCTGAGTACAACTAGGCTAAAGTAAGTGATAAATTTCTAGTTTTTTTTGTATATTTTTATTTATTGTTATACATTTTTAAAAGAAGTAACTAAAGGTTTACTAAATTAGATAAGAAAACTTGTGTTACAAAATAACACATTTCTTGTGATCTCTTGCTTGACCAGCTCACGTAATTATTGTAGTGTGAGGTTGCTTGGTGTAACGTGACCTCGTTGTGTTTTACATACACACCTAGTAGCACTGTAAAACAACAAAAATAGAAGAAAGCAGATCTGAAAAGGTTAAAAAACAGAGGCAGTTAGGAAAGATGTAATTATCTGTTACAATGTTCAGTCATTCTAGAAAAAAGAATAGGTATTTTTTATGTTTTTCACCACGGTTAGTGTTAGAGCAGAGAGAATGGAAAACTTTTGATATTTATTTAGGAGGTTCTCGAGGTTATTCAAATAAAATGTTTTTAATTGTGTACCAGTTTAACGTTGAATATTATTTATGATTTTAACTTTATACACAAGTGCCACAATACTATAATTACATGAAAGCATTAGATACCGGTTTCGTATCATCCAATATTCTCCTCAGTTTGCACAGTAAAGTTTTCTCAAACAAGACCTACTTAACATTGTAAAACTTTCCTCCTTGTTTGACCTTAAATTATTATGTGTTACACTCTGTAACATTTAATATGGTTTTAAATTATCAATAAAATAATCTCTTATTCTTTTCCAAGAATACCAAAATGGGAATATTTGGAAAAAGGGTTCTTCTAAAGCATGATTTTTTTCCATAATACACTTATTAATGTGTTTGTTAACAGGTAATGGGATATAAATAGCATTTCTGACATGAGATGTGTGTAAACTTATTCTCAAACATAAATTTTCTGTTTCTCCAATATATATTTGCTAACAACAAATACAAGATAATACATAAATAACATTATGTGAGTTACAACCAAATCAAGAGTTTATAAAAGATATTTTCTCCACAGTAGGGCCTATAATATATTTAGTGTGTGTACTCTAATATTTCTTACAAATATACAACAATTTGGTTTATTGCAGAGAAAAATACCTTCATAGGTTTCTTTACTTTGTTTCTGTGATTTAAGATAGCATTTTTAGGTTGTCTTCATGATATCATGAATGCTTATTTTCAAACTTAGTTGTTAGAGTTTTATCTGAAATTCTTTCCAGTTCTTTTTAAATATTATTAACATTAATTTTATGGTTTTATCTATTTTTTTTAAATTAACATTAAAAGATAAAAGTTTTTAAAAATATTTTAGTCATTTTTATTATTTCCTTCAGCAAAATTTATTTGTTTCCTTGTGTGTGTGTGTGTGTGTGTATATATATATATATATATATGTGTGTGTGTGTGTGTGTGTGTGTGTGTGTGTTACTTACACATATACTATGGATGTAGAGTGTTCATACTGCTGTATGTACATTAGGGTTACTGATAGTCTGTGTATGGGTGCTGTCGTATGGTGGAGAGAAACAGAAATACACTGTGAAAGTGCCAAAAGATGCATATCCAGAAAGTATTACACAGGAAGTCATCATGAAGACATTAAAATGTACAAAGCTGACTAGAGAAGAGCAAAGGCAACAAGCTCAAGAACACCAGAAAAAGTACTTACTGAAAGTCTGTGGGGTGGATCAGTATCTCCTGGGGAGGTATCCCATCACCCAGTACAAAGTATGGACTCTTTTTTTAGCTATCCTTTTTGAACCCAGATTTTGGATGCATTGTTTAAATTGTTCATTGGCATTGAGTAGTTATAAAAGTAATGCTTTGAATATATATATATATATATATATATATTTACACATAAATGAACAGTTGCATTTCTACTAAAAACAGTGGGATTATAGCTGAATTATATACTATTTATCTCATTCCTTGATGATACTCTTTACCACTAGTTTTGAGGTTAAGTCTTGCAACTACTGGAGATATTGAATAATTAGAGTTGTTTAAACATTTGTTTAACA